CCAGTAATTTTGCTCCTAGGAATCTGCCTAAGAGAAATGAAACCAGGGGTCCACACAAAGACACGTACTTGGATGTCCACAGGGGCATCATTGATCATAGCCCCAAATTGGAAACAGGACAAAAGCCCATCAACTGCTGAATGGATAAGCACAGTGTGGCGTGAACCCCTACAACGGGACACCATTCAACGATCAAAAGAACGAACCACTGACACGTGCTATGACGTGGATGGACCGTGAAAACCTGTGAAGTGAAAGCAGCCCCGCATCATATCCATTTAAATGCAATTTCCAGAAAGGACAAATTGACAGGGTCAGAAAGCAGACGAGGGGTTGCCTTAGGGCTGGGAGCGGGAGCAGGGATGTACCGTAAACAGACAGGAGGGAACGTTGTAGGGCGACGAACGTCAGGACGATGGTGATGGCGGCACCGCTTTGTAAATTTACTAAAATCAATGGGTTGTGTGCTTTCAGTGGGTGACTTTTAAGGCGTGCATATTGTACCTTAATAAAGTTGCTACAAAAACAAAAGACCCTGGTGGCAAACCATTCTGGTAGCAGGAGAGGAAATGAAGGTGATATCCCCTAGCAAAATGCACTGTCGTTGCAATAAAACATCCAATGCTGGGGCGCCTGGGTGGCGCAGTCGGTTAAGCGTCCGACTTCAGCCAGGTCACGATCTCGCGGTCCGGGAGTTCGAGCCCCGCGTCAGGCTCTGGGCTGATGGCTCGGAGCCTGGAGCCTGTTCCTGATTCTGTGTCTCCCTCTCTCTCTGCCCCTCCCCCATTCATGCTCTGTCTCTCTCTGTCCCAAAAATAAATAAACGTTGAAAAAAAAAATTTAAAAAAACAAAAAAACAAAAAAACATCCAATGCGACTTAACCTATGTTCATTTTTCTCTTTTTTTTAAAAAAAAATTTGTCTATTTTGGGGGAGAGAGAGAGAGAGAGAGAGAGAGAGACAGCACAAGCCAGGGAGGGGCAGAGAGAAGGAGAGACGGAATCCCGAGCAGGGTCCACGCCATTAGCTCAGAGCCTGATGTGGGGCTTGAACCCATGAACCGTGAGATCATGACCTGAACCGAGATCAAGAGTCAGATGGTCAACTATGCTCCCAAGCGCCCCTACCTATGTTCGCTCTTTGAGCCCGTCCAGTTCTAAACTCGAAGAGCAGTCAGCTTTAACTGGGCAATCACAATCCTAGGAGGATAGTGCTAGCATCACGCCCATTTTACAGATGAGAAAACAGGATCAGAATAGGAAAGCACCTCACTCAAGGACCCACAGCCACCAGTGGGAGAGCTGGGACGGGAACCCAGGCTGATTCTGGAATCTGTGTCCTTTGCTCCTGTGCCCTATCCCTTCTCCCACCCCGCCCCCGCCCCTCCCCAGCTATTCACACCCCCAATGGCTCTTTGGCCCTAGGAGAGAAGCACAGCACTGCTTGGACAAGCCAAGCCAGGATGCTCACCTTCCTCAGCTCACTGTAGCAAACACTACCTTTCATTCAGGTCTGCAGGGCCAACGCTGTGAGGAGCCGCCCTAACCACTAAGCAAGAAAGGCCCTGATTTACGGAAGCCACACATTTCGGTCAGGCAACACCGAGCAGGCACCAGCATCAGTTTCTGTCTGCAGCACATGGTTCCTAAAGCCTGTCTGGAGTGCGTTGGGGTTCAGCAAATGTGAGCCAACAATCAGGGACAGAGATGACCTCAGGTTCAGCGACAGGCCTGCCCACGTGGAATTCTTGCTTGGACTTTTCATCGGCGCTGCAAGTTTCCAGGGCGTGTTCCATGCAGGGGTCCGTGCCGTGGGGTCCACTCCCTCCAGTGACACGAGCATCCCCAGGCCTCCTCGGCCTCATTCCGTGGCAGACAGAGCTCATGGTTTCCCTCTCTCTCAACGTAGCAAGAACTGTCCTGCTTTTTCCAGGCAGAGGCACCAACAGGCCACACAGCAGCTTGAGTTTCCCAAAGGCTGCCCGGCGAGGCCGAGGAGACCTGGAAATGCTCGTGGCACTGGAGGGAGTGGACCCCACGCCCCCTGATGCCCTCTCTGCGATACGCCCAGGCTCCGGGTGCAGCCAGACAGAACATCTGCTCTCCCCTTGCCCCCCCCCACCCCATGCACGCTGACCTGCCAGCGTCTGGTCTGCACATACTGTCCTCTCTGCTCAGAACACTGTGCAGTCTTGTCATCCACTTACCAGTCTTGTCATCCCTTCGCCTTCTTCAGGTCTTTGCTCAAATGTCACCTTCTCAGTGAGGCTTCCCCTAACTACTCCATTTAAAATGTATAACTCCTGGGGCACCTGGGTGGCTCAGTCGGTTGAGCATCCGACCCGACTTCAGCGCCGGTCATGATCTCACGGCTCGTGAGCTCGAGCCCCACATCAGGCTCTGTGCTGAGAGCTCAGAGCCTGGAGCCTGCTTCAGATTCTGTGTCTCCCTCTCTCTCTCCTTCCTCTGCTCGCACTCTGTCTCCCTCTCTCTTTCTCAAAAGTAAACATTAAAAAATTAAAAAAAAAAAAATCGTAGCTCCTGATCCCAGCTTTAATTTTCTGCATCTATCACCATCTGACAGGCCATGTGTTTGATTTATTTGTCCATCCCCCCCGCCCCCCCAGCAGAGGGAAGGGAGTGTGGCTTACCTAGTTCTCTGGCTGCAGCACCTACGACAGAGCCTGGCTAAACAGCAATCCAGATCTCACGAAGGAACAAACTCCCCCACCAGGGCCCGGCCCGCGAATAGCATCTCTGCAGCTACCACCCAATGCCAAAGATGCCACGGGAGATTTTGTCAGAGACCAGCTGGCGCTTCTCAGCTGCTCGGGGGGTGACGGGAGCCCGCCGAGGTGCCCCATGTAGGAGGCAGCGTCCCTAGGACCCGTTCCGCGCCTCCCCGACGCGCCTGCAGAAAACCACACCGTGGGTACCTGTAGACGCTTATCCGTTCTGTCACACCTCTCGAGCCCTCTTCTAGGGAGGCTGGGCTGGGCGACACTGCTGGTTGGGACATAAGGAAGATATCTCAGAAGTCGGGTAAGAACTAGGTCGTTCCCCAGGACCCCTGAAATGCTGTGTAAAGGACGAAGCCGACAGGTGACAGGAGACTTGGCCACATGTGGCCTGAACATGACTCTCAGCCGGGCTCAGCTCATATGACTTAGAGCTGTTCCCCGCCCAGGTCATCTGTACCTTCCTGGGGCCGGGACGCTGCAGCTCAGCCGTGTTGAGAGGCTTCGCCCTCCCCAGGCCGGACAGAAGCCCTCTGCCCTGTGCTCACTCCACCGAAAGAAGGGATGCCTGGCGTGGGGGGCGGGGCTTGGTCAGCACGCTGCGAATTCGGCCTGCTGGAAATTCGAGGACATTCCCAAGCTGGAGGCGGCAGAAGATTCCTTTTAACACAAGTGTTAAAAGTACAGAGGTGTCAGAGAACTTGGTTTTGAGTTCCAGCACCGCCACCAAGTAGCTGGATTATCTTGGGCAATCAATCTCTTTACCTCTCTGAGCCTCGGTTTCCTTATCTGTAAAATGGGCTAACAAACATTCTGTGCTTCGCTGGGTGGTTGTCAGGATTAAGCTAGATGATTCGTACGTGCTGAACCCCGTGCCTGGCACCTGGTGAGGGCTCATGACGCGTTAGACCTTGCCGCCACTGCAATCGTAAAGTAAAGGGAGGAAGGATGTCGACCCCTAGCCACTTGCTCAGGCTGGCCACAGACCTCCAAGGTTATCAGAGTCCCGAGGCGGCTGAATTTGCTAGTAATTAAGGTACTAGAAAGACCTTTCTCCTTTGGGTTTCAGAATGGTGCTCAAGAAAAACAAGCTTGGACACAAAGTTCTCAGTGACCACGGGAATTATTCCAAAGAGGGGCTGGCCGGGCTAAATGTGTGACTCTGGAAGAGGAGGAAAAGGGGCCCCAAAGCCACTAAATCCCTGAGTTTATAATTAACAGCCACACAGTCTCTTTGCTGGCTCTGGAGCCCTCGTGGCTCACTGGGGAAGGGCACTAGTAGTCATACAAAAATAACCCCCCAGTGGGTTTTTGAAGTGTTGAGCCTCTTTGTTTTACTGAATTTTAATGAAGGGCTTTCCAGGCTGGATGAGAGCAGCACTCGAGCTCCCCGTGGCTGTGGCCGAGGAGCGGGGCTTAGTCAGCGGCTGCCAGCCTGCATGGGCCTGATCCAAGGTGGCATCTAGGGGAGGCGGGCAGGGAGACGTCCCTGTCCTCAGATGAGAGGTCTTGGGGGAGAAAGAGAGAAAAACAAAAACAAAAGATGTCTCTGTTTAGAAAGAGGGCTGGGCTCTGCTCCAGATGTCGGCATGGTTTGCAAACAGGCAGCGATGATGCTTTGGGGGGCAGTGGAGACGAGCGGCTAGTATCTGAAAGGTCAGAGGGGGTCCCAGTCTCCCCGAGAGAGAGCATTCTGTGGGATGCTCGGAGCGGGCAAGCCGGCCGCTTCTAATGAGAGCTAGCATCGAGGCTCTGGGAGCCCGTGGCGGAAAGGAAGGGCGTGCCTGGGGAGCCCTGGGCATGGGCTGCAAGAAGAAAGGAGAAAGGGGGGTGCTGTGAGAATAGCTCCCAAGTCCCGCTGTGAGGAATGGTTCGCCTTAGCGCGCCCCCTTTTTGCCGTCTCCTCAGCCAAGCTGCCCGACAGCACGAAGGAGACAGTAAAATTTCACTAACATAACTGAACATCCGCAGTAAGAAAGGCGTCCTGCCAGGCCCTCCCCGGACCCCGGCGGGTAGCGGCTTGCAGCCTCCCGTACCCCTGCTTCCAGGGGCTTCCAAGTAGACAGGTGCTCCCGGGAAATGCCGTGGCCTCTGTGAACCGAACACTTTCTAGAAGGGGTGCCATTCCTCTCCCCCTGAGTCTAGCTTTCCCTCATGCTCTTCAACAGCGGGGAGCAAACCCGTCAGACTGTTTAAAAGCTGCCCTCCTCCACTCTTGACGAATCTTTCCAAGAGGCTGCTGGAAAGAAAAGGAAGAGATGGCCACAGCGTAAAGCAATTTATTACACTTGAATGATCCAACATGGTCTACCGAAAATAAGCATTTTTATTACAAAATATTCCATACAAAAATGCTAAGCTACCGGCAAGCTTCTTCAGCTGTAGGCTTATCGCGTTTTTTCAAGTCCGAAGCAGAAATTACTCTGTGCGGGGACAGCAGTCTGCTGACCGCCGAGGGCTCAGGTGTGCGTGGGCTGTCCCACGGGGTCCTCCTTCTCCGCCTGCAGCAGGTCCCATTCGGTGAGGAGCTCTGAGGACACCTCGGTGTACAGACGGTCCCAGTCCCAGCTGACGTCATCCTGCCCGGAGAGGCAGCGCTGGGTAAGATGAAGGCAGAAGGCCCTTCCCCGCGGTCACAGCCGACCTCCCCCACCCTTCGGCCTCGGGGAGGCAGAGCTCACGCTGGGGAGCCGGCTGGTCGTAGGGATGACGCAGCCCACAGGAAGGAGCTTCTGCTGCTACTGACCTCTCGGACTTCGTGCTCTGGCGCCAGGACTTTGGTGAGGAGCTTCAGGTCAATCTCTCCATCCTGTGGATGCAAGGACGCAAACAAACGAGCAAGCAAACAAACCGGCTTGTGTTTCCCCGGGGCGGGGGCGGGGTTGGGGGGGGCGCTCCGGACACCTATGTCTTGCAAAGTGAGGAGGGTCAGGTTGTGTGTGGTGGAACTTCCCAAACCGAGACCTGCAGAAATGCCTTAAAAAGAGGATAACTGTGAGTGGACCTCGTAGCCACTGAGGAATGAGGGAATGCCACAGCATCCTACAGGTTGGACATTCTTTGCAGGAAGGTCAACACCAAGAGGGCAGGGCGTGACAGTGCCGGATCTATAGGGCCGCGGTACCTCCTGATGCCGGGGGGCCTCCATGGAAGCAGGTGGGAGCCTGGCCCCGGGACACACTGGGACAGGTCGGGCCCAGGAATGCCGTAATACCCGAGGGGAATGCTCCGGCAAAGGGACTGTCACCAGGAGGCCCCAGAGACCCACGGAGGAGATGAGGCCCGGAGCCCGCCCCTCTGCGCAAAAGCTGCCGCACTCACCAAGGTCTGAAAGGCTGAGTACTTCATGAGGTCATTGTCCAGGTCACGGTAGGTCATCACCCGGTTGACCTGGATGCTGCAGGAAAGAGAGAAGGTGAGGAGGAATCCCAGGCAGGACGGGTTCCAGGCGGGCTGCCGGGCCACCATCCCCAGAGCCTCCCGGGCAGCGAGGAAGGACCAAAGTGGGAAGAATATGCCTAGTAACACGGGAACCCGGGCAGGAACCCATCACCAGCAACTTCCCGTCTCCACTCGGGGCGGGGCAGCCCCGCTGTACGCGGTATTCGGCATGTGTTCATTCACATGCTCTCCGCCTCCCGCCAACTCCACACCTAATGTAACGTACCTGGGGGGGGCTGCCACCTGCAAAGCAAAGTCTTCTTCCTGTACTTCTTCCAGATCCGGAATAACAGGAATATCTGCAACGAGAGGAGGAGAAAGAACTGTGAATAGGGAGGGATCTCACCCGCTTCTCCATGTATTTACCACCTTCAACGTGCCAGCGGGGGGTAGGACGGATACTCAGACACAGTCTCTGGCCTCCGGGGTCCCCATCTAGGGCTGCGGTACTGAACTAGAGGTGTGCCTGAAACCAAAGGTGGGCTGCAACCGTTTCCGAATCCCAGGCGTTACCCCAGCCACCTGCTGGATTAGAACCTCCTGGGCGGGGCTCAGGATTCTGTACTTTTTCCTAAGATTTCTTTGGTGATCCTGCTGTACGCTCCAAGTTAGGAGCTCTTGGAGTGGCCCTCCCAATGAGAAATGTAAAGAAATGGGAAGAGAGTCCCCTACTGTACTTGGGGAAGTTTACATTGGAGGAGCCCGAGAATGAGCCACCTCATGACCGAGGTCCACCCGTGCACTAGCTCGTCGTAATCCCTGCAATCATCACGGCCGTCATGGCCCTGAGCCTGACTCTGAAGGACATTTCACACCTAATGAGATGAAGCGGTTCCCCAGCGGTGTCCCTGGGCTCAGTCTTGCCAGGTCTGATATAATAAAGAATGCCGATTCTAAAGAGGACACGTCTCTTGCCGGGTCATGGAGATTTCCCTTCTTCAAACTGTACATGTGAGACAGACGTCCAGACACAGGAGGACATCTCGTTCATTAGTCCAACAGAGTCACGCGAGCAGAGAGGCCGAGAGAAGCAGAGAAGCAAGTGGCGACTTCCCCAAAACAGCCCTTCTTGTCACGGGGACAACCTAACGCCCTAAAGAAGTATTTCCTTTTCCAAATGAGCATCACTGACTGGTTGAGGGGTTTTCTTTGTTTCAACCGGTCGGAGTAGAAAAAGAGAGGGGGCAGAAAAAAAGGCCAAGTGGAGAGATACCATCCTAGAATTCCCAATCCAACCACAAACATCAAGAGGAAAAAGCCCAGTGAAGACTGAATAGTGAAGAAACTCTTTGTTTTTGCTTCCATGGACTAAATTCAATTTTATTTCATTAAAAATTTTTTTTAAATGTTTATTTATTGTTGAGAGAGACAGAGCATGAGTTGGGAGGGGGCAGAGAGAGAGGGCGACACAGAATCCGAAGCAGGCTCCAGGCTCCGAGCTGTCAGCGCAGAGCCCGACGCGGGGCTCGAACCCGCGATCTGTGAGATCACGACCTGAGCTGAAGTCAGACGCTTACCCACCGAGCCACCCAGGCGCCCCCAATTTAATTTTTAAATATGTTGTTTTTTAATTTTTTTTTTAACATTTATTCATTTTTGAGGGACAGAGAAAGGCAGAGTATGAGTGGGGAAGGGGCAGAGGGAGAGGGAGACACAGAATCTGAAGCAGGCTCCAGGCTCTGAGCTGTCAGCACAGAGCCCGACGCGGGGCTCGAACTCACCAACTGCGAGATCATGACCTGAGCCGAAGTCGGACACTCAACCGACTGAGCCACCCAGGCGCCCCCCCCAATTTAATTTTTAAAAGACATGCAGAGTCATTCCAAGAACAGCTGGGAAGACCCTTCTGCCACTTTCAGACTATTCATTATTCAGACTTTGCAACTGCTCTGGTCCAGCTAAGCCTGAGTATATAAATGTCAACTCCGAGCCTGGTGTCTTTATTACGGCCTCCGACTGCAGAGCTACAGATGCCGTACCTGGAAAGAGAGGGAGGAGGTAGGCAAGGGAGAGACGGAGACACAGAAAATAAGACCGAGAGTTAAAGGCAGTGATTAAAAGAATCAAAAGGGCTTAAGAGAAGGAATGGCTGAGAGGGGAAATAAAGAACACTCACACACCACCCCCAAAATAACGACCCACGTTCGGCAAGACCTCTGTCCAGAAAGCAGCTGTGGAGGGCTTAGATTCTGCCTCTCCGTCCTGCTGAAGAATTAGACGCGGAGTCCTCTAAGATTCTACCTCTTATGCTAATAGGAATTTTGCCTTCTTGTTCACTCTCGCTCTGCGTGATTAATGCCGTCCACGGTGAGAGCCGCTGACAGCACCGTCCCTGAGCCCGGGCCGAGCGGCGGGGCAGGGAGGAAGCTGGCTGTGCCATGCGCCATCAGCACTGTGACAGTGTTGGAGCGAGCCAGTTAGCTGCCCCCGGCTCGCCTCGGTGTGGAGTCCAGCCTGAGATGAATATTCAGAAGGTGGCAAGAGAAGGCCCCACGCTGGGCTTAGGGCTCAGGACGGGGTCTTCCCCGAGTCCCCTCTCCCTCCACAGCGTTAGCATTTGGGTCCTGTCAACTCCGCCCCGCTCCTCCCGGCTCTGAGGAACTGCACTTCTGCCCAATGTCCACTCCGACTCCTCACGGGCTTCCCTCCTCGTCCCCGCCCCCCTCCTCCAAATGCGCACAAAGGAGTGTGGGGCTGGCCCATCTGTGACAGATCAGAGGTCAGCCCGGGCCTTGGCAAAGGGGCCTCTCAGAGTGGCACTGGTGAGGCCGGCCACACAGTGGGATTTCTCTCTAATTGGAAGCCCGGTGCCCAACAGAACCCGGTGAACCGCCTGAGTGGGACAGAGCCAGCGATGACAGCCAGGCTGAGGCAAGCTGGACCATTCCGGTGCGGTGACAGCTTGAGCCATCGCAGCAGAGTCGGGCCGTCCAACTCCCGGCCCCCATGGAACAGGTGGCCGTGGAGCCGGTTTGGGGCAAACTTCAAAGAACTTCACAGTTTTACAGTTCCTGATTTACTATCACAGACAAGCTTTCATGTATATGTAACTTGTTCGGCCTTGCTCCTTCCCACCTCGTCTTCCCCTAGAAGATTTCAGAAAACGGACTTGCGAAATCCGCTTCTTCACAAAAGTATATACCGGGAATGCTCGGTTATGGCCGCTTGGCCTGCAAGTCTGGACCGGTGACCCAGTCTGGTTCAGGACCCCAAGCGTGACTCTCGGAACGTTACTAATGTAACACTGTATGCCAACGGTGCTCAAATAGAAGACAAATTTCTAATAAAATGAAATAGAAAGCGCGTGATTTTTAACAGAGACGGTAAGAGGAATACAGGGGGTCTGCTCTAGCGCTGCTGAAAAGCTACCGCTATTTTGAAAAAATGTAATGGTTCTATTGACTTTATTCTCCTGTTCTTCTGCGCTGCTAAAAGCAAGAAGAACATGAACAGAAACAGTGAGTGGGTTAAGTATATGGGCAGGACGTCCATCCCGTGGTTAAGACGCAGGCTCCGGAGGCAGGATGGGTGGCTTCCAATCCTGGCTTCCCCACCTACCAGCTGTGTGACTATCCTCTCCGTGCCTCAGTGGTATCATCTGTAGAAGGGGGAATTTCACCTCCCGCATACGGTTGTTACAAGCATTAAATGCCATCATCTTTACAAAATACTCACCATACAAAATGCCAAACTCTGCTCCGTGCATAATAAAGATTCTAGAGCTATTCTTATTCGCTTAACAGATAAAGTGTTGAGCCTGCAGAGAAACTATATGCTCTACCTTCAGCATCTCATTTACTCTTGCCCATTTTGCAGGCGAGAACAGTGAGGCTCAGCAAGATTAAGCAGCTGGCATGAGCTGAGATCATCAATAACGGACAGCGCCAGGTTTCCGGCTCCGTCCGACTGCAACCCATGAGCTCATCCTCGCCCACTCGTGCTCTCTTTGCAAATGAACAGTGCCTTCAAAGGCACTCGTAGAGCGGAGTCTGGACGGCTTTTACTCTAAAGATTCAACGACCTCTGTTCTGGTATTTCTCCTGATTCCCATCACCACACATAAGCTAAGTCTCTCCCTCGCCATATGCCCCAACTCACCACTGCCTCAGCAAGGCCAAATGGAACAGAATGGAAAGAGCGCAGTGACGCCGGAGCCCTGGGGACTCCTCCCTGCGGCCCGTGTCTTACTGAACTGGCCCCATGGAGGTGACTGAGCACCTCAAACAGTCTCAGAAAAGGGGAGCAAGGCAGGAGGGCTATGACCTCACACGGACCGCCACCCGGACACAGGCCACCATCACGTGCTTCTCTTTCCCAGCTCCGACTCCTTCAACTGAACGGGTTCTTTGCCCTTACTCCCCACCTCTTCTGTTAGCCATCTCTCCTGCCTGTTCAACCTGCTTGTCTCCCCACGTGTCACCTGGTTAGCCGCACGTGGGGAAACCGCATTTGCTTGTTTATTCGTTCATTCATCCAAGGAACACTGAGCATCTGAAAGGTGCAATGCCACACGGTGCCAGTAACAACAGCAAATAGAAGACAGTCCTTGTCTTCGTGGAGCGCCGGAAAGTACCAGGGCCGAAACAACTAATTGTCTTGTTTTTCGAATGTAAAATATCATATGTGGTAACAATTCAAATGCTCCAGAAAAGGTTAAAATGAAAAACTTCTTATTCTTATGTGAGCCCCAGTCTGTCTCCCTAGAGGTGCTATTAACAATTTCTTGTATTTACTGAAAAGAATGTGTACCTACCGCAGCACACATGTCCTTTAAAAAATGTTTGTGAACAGGATCACTTTACACATGCATGGTTCTGCAACTTGCTTTCTCTCCCCTTATCAATAAATGTACTGTAAATCTTATTCTTTTAAATGGCCACCTAGGATTCTATTGAATGGGTGCTCCATAATGCATTTAATCTGGTTCAGAGATCTCATTTAGAACTTTGGAAGGTGGGGTGGGGAGTTGGGGAAGGTCTCTAAATGAGGGACGACGCAGCTCAAAGCCGAAGGACAGACAGGATTAAAGCAGGCAGAGACGGCAGGTGCAAAGGCGCTGTGAGGTGAGAAGCATCTCCCAGCACTGAAGAAACTGGAAAAAGGCCAATGTCGGTGGCCCAGGGGCCAGGGGAGAGTGATGGGGCGGGGCGGGGGGGGGGGGGGCCGGAGAGAGGGTGCCTGGTGGCAGGTGAGGAAGGACCTGCGTCGACCAGCCAGGAAATATGGACTGGGTGTCTGCTATACACAAGACCTTCTAGGGCACATGACAGGAAAACCAAGATTGATGAAGCATGGCAAA